TGCAAACAGGTGTTCAGTGTCGTAACCGGACGCATTGCATGCAGGAAATACTTTGGCTGTGGCGAGGTCAAGTTTCGATAGGTTAGGAGTTAGTCTAATAAAATATCCAGATCTAAATGGTGCCAATATTAAGCGGTCTCTCGAGACATAATGTGTAGTGGTTTGAGTGAGAGAGAACGCCGTTTCCTGGAAGAGAGTTTAAGAAGGTTTTGAATGGTGTTTAGTGCCTGTCGGTGGTTCTTGTATAACCTGCTGCATGCAGGCTATACTAACTTCCTGTTGTGCCTATGTGGTGGCTTGGCATCTACAGATAGATTTAGATGCTTTGGCAACGTTTTCTGTCCCGGTACTGGGGGCGGTGGCATACGTGTTGCTTCTACATCTGAGTTCGCTAGTCTCCGGCGTCTTTATCTGAGCAGCATAGTTTTCAACCGGCTGGCGAATTTCTTGTAAGCTGCCAGCAATGTTTATTTGTCTTCCCCCAAATGCTGCCGGCTAAGGCTTTGAGCAGTTTATTGCGGCTCTGGAATTTTGTGGCAATTGTTGTCATATGCGGAAAATAGGAGTGTAGGCTGTCGACTGTAACTCCCAGCATCTTCTAACCGGGTTGTTAATTTTTGCGCCATAGACGTTCACATTCAGTTCGAGCCGGTACTTCTTCTTCCTGCAGGTGAAGAGGGTAACCGATGGTTTACATTTTGAATTACAGTCCTAGCTTGATGATTTTGACGGTAATTAAGATCGTCAGAAGAATATGAGTGCCCTCCCCCTGAATTGAAGTCGTTAAACGAAAAATAAGTTAGGCTACGACTACTCATTTCGATTTCCAGGCCTTTTCTCAACTCAGCGCGGAAGTATAGGCATAGTCATGATGGTTCCGAAGTTTGTGGCAAATCATTGGAGATACAAACTCATGAGATATTTTTTTAAAAATATTGACAATGCGTCTTTTCGGATATTCAACTGCAGGTTTTCATATTTTTATAGATTTCAACTGGGACATTATTTTTCGAAGTCAACAAACTGATCATTTATTTGGTTGCCCTTAATATAATGTCCTTTGCAGATTCGTCAAAACTTATGTAATTTGATATATTTTCTTTCATCTACTAGCAACTTCAAACTTTCTCAACTACGTTTCGCTCTTCCAAAATAATTAATTCTTGCCACGGTAAGGCGAATGAATATCCAAAACTTTGAAAACTTGCGTGAGCTTTTGAAAAAGTTTCCACTCCTCCGAAATACTACAATTCAACTTTATTACTGCTGCTTACCCTCAAAAAGAGTAATTACTTAATAAACTGCTAGAATGAGTTGGCTAAAAAAAAACTGAGATAAGAAGACCACTCTACAGTAACCTCGCAACAGTCTTTTTGCATATTTCAAGTCAGGCAGCGCGTTGCTCAGGACTACTTCTGTTATTATTAAAGTTTCTTATTTGTTATTGTAGTGGTTTTCTTCAGAACTACCGACACTTCATATTATTGCATATGTAGGCAGCACTGTTTGCCAGAAGTTTTCCAAAGCTCTCGACAATGACCCTTAACACGCACCGCGCACCAGGCTGTGTTGTTTTATCGTTTGTATTTATTTTTATTGTACTTTTGCAAAGCAACTTAAACAAAAATTACTGCTGCTTCCAGTAGCGAGCTAATGCTATGTATTTTCATTTTATTTTTGGCTGCCTTTGACGTGCTTCCACTCTTTTACCGTCAAGAGATCTCAAAGGAGTCAAAAGAACAGCAAAATTACTCGCAGTGTCTTCTGCGTATTCTTGCTACTCGCTCACAGTCTTTCGCTATTGCATGACATCTCATAAAGAGACCAATTACTCTTAATATAAAGCGATATAAAGAAATCGAGGATTTAGAAAAATATATATATATAATATAAAATAATATAAAAATGCATGTCCGGTCCTTTCATTGAAAAGGTGTCGCTGTCCAGATGGATGATGTCACCGCCGTCCATGGAGCGCGATGGACGGAACAAGGACGGAAAAAGGTGGCCATATAAAGAAGCTAAAATATGGTGTCGGAGATAGTGCTGGGGGAGATTGAAGCCGTCGCCGAGAACTGGCTTTCGCTCAGGTAAATGAAAGTCTCGCCACAAATTCCGATTTGCCCCCTACGGAAGAGAGATACTATGTCTCCCAGAATGCCCTTTAAGAGTGCCTCGAGCAAAGTAAAACATTCCCTACCGGTTTGTGGCTGATCGACTTCGCTGGGGCCCGAAATCTGATTGTCTGTTGTACTGAATTTTAGCACAAAAAATACATCAAGCAACTTGGCTGCTTCCTGATCGAAAAAACCCAAAACCAGATCGATCATGTTGTGACAGACAGAAGACATTTCTTCAGTGTTCATGGTGTGTGTGTACACTCTGCGGACCCAACATCGACCCAGCGATGATACGCACCCGCCTTTGTGTATTAACATACACAAGGAAAGTTCGACATCGAAAAGCTGTTATCACAACGACTTGCCCTGCTGCTCTCAGATCACTCATCAGCAGCTCGGTATACAAGAACTTTGGAACGGCATTTCAAGCTCCCTATGTACAGTTGCAAACGAAACTATTGGTTTTCGGAAAGGCCGCGAGAGCAGCGGGTACGACGAGGACTGCCGTATCGCAGTAGAAAGAAATCAGCCTGCCTAATTCTTAACGTTGCGAACGACCACTAAACATGCGATACGGGATCGATACAGAGAATTGAAAAGGTAAGCAAGACGAAGCTGCATACAAAAAAGAAAGAAGTCGAGATGCGTTAGTACGGGAAGCTTGAGGAGCTGGCCGACAAAGGTAGTGCTTGAAAATTTTACGAAAAAACACGGTGACTTACGGAAGACCGGATCAAACTCTTGTAGGGTCCAGAGGTGTGATCTTACAACCAATGCACAGAGTATATTGAATTAATGGAAGGAATACTTCTCCAGCTTAATGAATGGCAGTGGAAATGGAGTAACCGGATATGGTGAACCCGAAATCCCAATCGATGGCGCTGGAAAAAACATTCCATTACGTAACCATGAAGAAGTTCGAATAGCAACCGCCAGCTTAAAGAACAACCACGCGGTTGGAGCTGACGGCTGACGGGCAGAATTAATCCGACATGGCGGTGAAGAGCATCAACTACTTTGCAAAATATGGTCAGACGAAAGCATGCACGACGTTAGGAACCTAAGTACGCTCTGCCCAATCCATAAAAAAGGGCGATTTCACAGTCTGCGCCAACTACCGTGGGATAAGCCTCTTTAGTATCGCCGAGAAAGTCCTGTTGAGCGTATTTTGTGAAAGACTAAAGCCCACCGTCAACCAACTAATTTTACCTTATTAGTGTGGTTTTAAACCGGGGAAATTAACTATTGTCTGCTCACCACGCGCCAAATCCTAAAAAAGACGGTGAGAAGAGGATCGACACACCACTTCTTCGCCAATTTTAAAGCAGCGTTCGACAGCACGAATAGGAGCTGCAACCCTAAAGGCTACGTCAGGATCCGGAAGGACCCTTTCGTTCCGTTTGATATTAAAATATGCTTTAAAAAGAGTGGCAGAGATGAAGGGAGATGGTATAATCCTCTAAAAGAGTGTACAGCTGCTGGCGTACGCAGATGATATTGACATTATTGGCTTCAACAACCGTGCTAAGGGTTCTGTTTTCTCCAGACTGGATAAGGAAGTCTTAACTTTGAAGTCGTAAGTAACTTCCTCTATCTTTGAACCAGCATCAACATAAAAAACAATGTCAGGCTTGATTTAAAGACCTCCACGAGTTGACAACGGCGAGTACTGCTGCCGATGGAACGATGAGCTGTACGGGCTATAGAATGATTTCGATATAGTTTAGCGAATGAAGAGACAGCGGTTAAGCCGGCTTGATCAAGTCGTCCAAATAGATGAAAGCGCTCCATTCCGCAAAAAAAAAAGAAATGAATGGCACATTGTTGTTGTAAACAAAATGTATAAAATAAAATAAGAGAAAAAAATAAAAAACTAAAATAAAAATAAGATAGTAAAACCAAGATTAAACAAAATAAATAAGTAAAAAAAAAGTAAATCTTAATCAAATTAAATTTATTTAAATAAACTAAAATTCCTTCAAATCAAATAAAATATAATTTAAAACTAAATTAATTAAGTTAAAGTAAAAAAAATAAAATTGATAAACCAAAATAAAATAAAATAAATTAACACGCAAAATAAAATAAAAAATGGAATAGCAAAAATAACAATAAAATTTAACAGAAAACCAACAATTAAAAAAGTTAAAGAGTGAAATTAAATAAAGATTAAAAATTTTCCAACTCATGGAAAAATGGAAAACTCTTAAGCGAATTGTGTTTTTCAAATTTTTTCAGCTTTGAGTGTGTTTTAAGAAAATTTTGCCAGAAGCTGTGGATGCTAATGTTTTTCATGGTAATAGTTTTTTAATGTTTATTTCTCACTTGTAACCAGTACAGGCTATGCGGCCTCGAAAACAGGCTAGACAACGAAAAATCGGGCAAAAAATTAAAGTGGCTGGCAGTGACCGTAGTTCTTAGCGCGTCAGCTTGAGATAACGCCACTATGTTCGGAGTACACAGAATTAAGATGTCAAACACAATCTTTTTAAATCTTTTTCCATCCCTTTACTATGTTAGCAACACCTGTCAGCTTATCGCAGCATGACACTAGTAAAATTATGCCTGCAAGTCCAGCAGAATTGAAGAAAAAAAATGCCACAATGGGGAAACTTTATACCTGAATCTCTTTCACGACACCATCTAACCATTCTGACTATACGAAAAGCAACGTGTTTCAATAATATTTCAAAACGGTATTTTAGACAATAAAACATACTCATGTTGTGATAAAAAAATCCTAGCAAAAAGTGAACAGATATAAAATGATCCTTAAGAAAGTAGTGTAGAACTAGGAATTTCCCATACTACAATAGGAAGAGTATAAACAGGATTGATACTTAATTTTTCCGCTTTTTCTTTTCCCACAAATTATTTCAGCTTTGAGATTGTGACGAAAGTCGCTGCAGGATTTACTGAAAGTGAAAGCAAGGCCGTGACGAAAGTGAAATCAAAGGCAAAAAGGAAATGTTATGCGAAAAATTACAAAAATCATGCTTTGCTGTTCGTTGGCACATTTAAGCCGCTTTGGGAACTAGAACAGCCGTAGCACTCACTTGCCAACATACAAATTTAACATCGCTTTCCATTTTCACTGCAGCATTTGAGATGAACACTTGAGAGACCGTTAAATGCTTCCGCTACAAGAATTCATCAACAGCTTTTATATGATGTTTTATCTACGTTTGCACACAAGTGTAATGTGCACGGAATAAAAAAGGAAAAATTATTGATTTAAGAGAACTGGACGAAAAGAAGCAGTTATGTGGTATATGAATTTAACGGTAAATAAGTAAAAGGTGCTTTTTAGTATGCAGAAATTTGCAGATTTGCTACAAAAGTCCAAGTATCTTAGGGGTGTTTTTAAAAAGAATTAAATCAAATGACTGCTTACCGGCCGCAATAGCCGAGTGGTCGAATTCTGGTTCGACTAAAATCCAAAATTAAATTTTCTTCAGTTTTTGCGGTTGCCCCTCTGCAGCGAACGTCAAGACCATCGAGTGTATGTCGGTTACAAAGCACCAATAATGTCGCTTGCACTGAAATATAGTTTTTGAATAATATAAAACAGACCACCTAAGGTATACCATCCACCCAAGGCTATCACTCGTAGCGGAGCATTGCAGTGCTTAGTGCTTGTTGACAACCACAATAGCAAAGCGGATTTCACCAATTCAAGGACTAAAAGATACTCTATAATGAAACGGTGTTTATTGTGGTTACACAGTTTTATTGTATTAAATACCTTAATCTGATGTTCTTTGTTCGAACGGGAAGCGCTTACACGGCTCTTATCTATAGCAAATGATAATGTTGGTGGCAGAACTGTGCTGGAAGCAGCGTGAGTAACAACAAAAGCCCTATGGTGGCAGTGAAACTGGCTAAAAAAATACATTGTCATCGTTTATGGAAGCGCCGGAAAGTAAACAGCAAATAACGAAAGAACAACCAACTTCCATTGAAGGGGGAAAATCAACAATGTCTCAGTAGGGAGTAATATTTTTGTATACAAAAGCTAAATTGATAAAAGTTATAACGGCAAAAAATATACAAATATATGCAGCAGGATGTGGTGTACATGGTGTAAATATACGAGTTTTATTTATTAAAATTTTTGGTACATTTTTTACACATTTTTTTGAGAGCACCACATGACTTCATATTAAAGTTTTTTTAAATCGTTATTCAGATTTACTGTATCTTACATACCTTATTATATATTTATACATACCTTAGGTAATAATAGGAAATTATGAATAAAATCTGCAACGAAAAATAATTAATTTTTAGTATTTGCGCTAAGATAATGATTCCGAATTGATTACTCATAAAAAATATGAACATTTGAAATTAATTTTTCGGCAAAAATTACCGCTCTTTAATGGGGTAGGTAAGCGGGTAGTAGCTGCTGCGATGTGTACTGCTCCTCGGAAGGCCAAGGTTCGAGTTCTGGCTTAACCAACATTCAAAAATGATACAAAACTAATATATTTAATTGCGGTTGACCCTCGGCAGGGAGTGCCAACCTTTTCGAATGTATGTCTAACATGAAAAGGAAGTTCCTCATAAAAATGGTAGGTTTCTCCATTTGCTGGAAAACTTCAAGGCGCATACCACAAATTGGAGGAGGAGTTCCGCTTGCTTGACTCACTCACCTCAGCAAGCACAAATCGTAGAATATGGTTATCTGTAGTATCAGATTCCAGCACAAAAAAATTCTTTCAGCTACTTGGTCGTCTCCAGTGTTCTTGACGTGCGTACACTCCGAGGACTTAACATCGACTTGGACTATCATTTCGTAAAAGCAAGGATACGCACCCAATGCTATGCAGCAAAGAAAGCTCGTTAGCAAACACAACGAAATTTCCACAACGAAAAGCTGCAATCACAACAGGCAGCCAAATGGTATTCTACTCGACTAGCACTCCTGCTCTCTAAGAGCAATTGTAAGCAACTCGGTTTAGGGGAACTGTGGGACTGAATTCTAAGCTTCATAACGTAAACGAAAATATTGGATTTTGAAAAAGTCGCCAAAACAGCTGCTAAAAAGAGAACTGCTGCACCGTAGTCGTAGAAGAGAAAGCAGACTGCATACCTCGCAACCTTGACATCGACCAAAACACATGCAGGTGGGATAGATACCGAGAGATGAAGAGGAAAGCAGGACGTATCTGAAGACAAAAAAAAAAGAAAGAGGCTGAGATGCGTGAGGAACTTGCGAAGCTGGCCGATAAAGGTAATACTCGAAAATTCTACGAAAATATACAGCGACTTATGGAAGGTTTCAAGTTAAACTCTTATAAGACGCAGAGGGGTGAGCTAGTGACGGATGCCCTGAGTTTAAAGAGGAAGCACTTCTCCAGCTTGCTAAATGACAGTGAAAATGGAGAACCCGGAAAAGGTGAACCCGAAACTCTAACTGATGATGATGGAAAAGTTGTTCGTCGATTTTGAAGCCGTCTTCGACTGCACGAATAGGAGTTGCCTTTACGCCGCTGAGTTTGGTATCACCGCAAAACTTATACGGCTTTGTAAACCGCATTAAAAGCTGCGTGAGGATCGGGTAGGACTTCTCCGAATCGTTCGAGACCAACCGAGGTTTGATTGATTCCTTATCGATTGACTTCTATAACTTGATACAAGGTTGAAGGTACAATCTTCTATAAGATAGACATAATTGGCCTCAACAACCGCGCCGTTAGTTCTGCTTTCTCCAGACTTTATAAAGAAGCGAAGGATATAGATCTAAGAGTGAACGAAAGAAAGATGAAATATCTCCTGTCATCGAATGAACAGTCATCGCATTCACGACTTTGAGGTCGTAGTTTATTTCGTCTCTCTAGGGGCCAGCATTAGCACCTGTAAAAATGACAGCCTTGAAATCCAACGCAGAGTCACTTATGCCAATAGGTGCTACTTTGGAATAAGTGGACAATATAAGTGTAAAGTCCTTTCTCGCCCAAACTCTACAAGTCGCTCATCACAACGTCCCCACTGTTGGCGCGAGGCGATGTCAACATCTGATGAGTCGGCCCTGGTAGGCTTCGAGAGAAAAGTTTTGCGTAAGATTTATGGTCAGTCAGCGGCTAGGCTAGATAGATCATACCGTCCGAATGGATGAAAGCAATCCAGCTTTTAAAGTATTCGTTGAGGTACCCGCTGGTAGAGCAGAGGAGGACCTCCACTCCGGTGGCATGATCAGGTGGCTCCACGTGGTACTTCCAACTGGCGCCAGACATCAAAAAGAAGAGAGGAATGGTGAGCTAAAGTTGATCGGATACCGAAAATTGAATGTTGCATGATTTAGGTTTGGAAGCCTGCGCGGCCGATGGTAAAACTCACAAGTATTTCGTAGATAAAATTATGATGAAACGGTTTCAAGTGTATACTTTTTCATATATTCAACGATTATAAGCCACAGAGGAGCGGTGCAGTGTAAAACACAAATAAATAACTTAATAATCGCTAAAAAAAATAACACACACTCACTAACTCGAGTAAATTCAGTCGATGTATTGATATTGAAAAGTATCAGACAAGTGTACAACGGTTAAGAGTCAATTTGGACAAATTCGCATTTTCAATTCCAAAAAGGAGCGTCCGAACTCACTCTACAGCCTTTTTGATTATCTGGTTTCTATACTTCAAATTTAAAATGCATCTCCAAATATATGTGCATAGCCTTCAGTGTTGGCGTGTCAAAGCATCACATAAAATATTAAATGCCCTCACGCAATTCGTAACACACGCAAGCACTTACAGACTCGAAAAGCGCCAAATGACAAACCTAAAGGAGCCTCGCACATATCGCAGTGAAAGAAATGATTGCCTTTGGCTATAAGATTAAGCTGGGCAAAAAAATGCGTTATGCCAAGCCAAGCCTACTTTTCTTATGAGACTCACCCACTAACCCATTAAGGGAAGCGAAAGGCTGTCGGTGCGTGCCAACGACTGCAATCAAACGCCTACATAAAGCTACTAACCACCCGCTTTCCTCGCAGCGAGTCGCTTGCAGACATCCAAAATCTAAGCCGACAAAGTATTTATTTACCTTATATACCGATTTTGGTGGTGGTTGCGTGCGTGCATAAATATTTACCAACAGACCACCAACCTGTCTTCACCACATCACTAACAATCCAGAACGCACTGCCGCACAAGAACGCCTTTGAGCCTGCATGTAAATAACGGTGCATAACTGTGTTGTATGATTTCTGCCGCAAACACCTACAACACAGGCGCCCACAGTTTAGTGCTTCCGTTTCCTGCCTGCTTCGGTTGCGTGTGGCAGCCTTCCGGCTGTGGCAACGTACGCCAATACAAGCGGACTCGAGTTAGAAAACAACTAAACTCACTTCCAGCTGTGCAGTGGCTTATTTGTCTAAAGCCTTGTGGAGCAAGATTGTCTCGTTACACATTATATGTTATATATGTATGTGTATTTATGTATTTCAACACATACACAGTTACATTTGCCCAAAACATTATTATTATCATCGATAGTATTGAAGGCAATGAAAGCAGCTCGTAGGGTGTCGGCTGCGTCATTAAAGCAGACGGCGGGTGTTGAAAACATGCAGTCGTTCGCCTCGATAAGCATCTCTGCGGAGTAAGCAACATTTTTATAGTCAATTTGCGTTTCACTTCAATTTACACCAACTGACGGCGGAAGAGTCGTTTGTGTGAGAGTCGAAGGATATGTGAAAAATAAAAAAGCAGCAGGAACAACAACACGCATCAAAATGATACTTTCCAGGGTGTGCTGCGTAAGCCAAGAAGAAAAAGAAGCAGTGGAAGAGGAAGAAGAAGAAGAGCAATTTTGACAAAAAGTCGAAATGAAGACACACATAAGCGCAATTGACTCTAGTTGAAATGTGTGCAAGGCAGTTGCGGATAATCAACGAAAAAGGATTGCTACGCATTTAAGGCGTGTCTGGAAATACTTCGGTGCATACATTTCTTTTTTTTTAATTAGCGATTTTTAACCGCCTGAAGCGATTTTTGGCCGAGCTATTCCTCCAATTTGTGATTTTACGTCTTGATGTTTTTCCAACCAATGGAGGGATCCTCCGTACGGGTTTCATGTCAGTGATATACTCGTAGGGGTTGACATTCACTGCCGAGGGGCGACCGTAATTAGAAAATTTTTGGGATGTTAGTACTACACCAGTATTTGTACCCGAGCCTTCCGAATGGCAGTACGCAATGCTAACTACTCGTCTACCGCAGCCGTCCAAATACGTACATACACAGAGTTATTTATACACACCGCGAAGTGAGTGAAGTACCGAAA